CACTCCTCAGCATGGCGGCCATCAGCCACATGTGCTTATTTAAATTTAAATTTAACTAAAATTAAGATAAAAAGTACAGTTCCTCAGACACGCTGGCCACATTTCAAATGCCCAAGAGCCACACATAGCTTGTGGCTACTGCATTGGTGCAAATTATAGAACATTTCCATCATTGCAGGACGTTCCACTGGACAACAACAGCCTAGAACATAAAATCCAAATGCCTCAAACCAGCACCCAATGGCTAGCTGTCATTTACAACCAGCCCATGCTTGCCTACTACTTCCCCTAGTAGTAGTGCCACTTAGTTTGTCCAGGCCAGCCTCTCCTGTAATGCCAACAAACCATGCTCCTCCTCGATTTTGTGCTTGTGCTCATAGGACTCCTTGCCATCAAGACAGACAAGCAGGTAAATCAGAATGCACAGTCACTTAAAAAGTGGAATTTTCGGCCAGGCGCAGTGGCTCATGCCTGTAATCCCTGTACTTTTGGAGGCCAAGGCAGGTGGGTTGCCTGAGTTCAGGAGTTCAAGACTAGCCTGGGCAACATGGTGAAACCCTGTCTCTACTAAAATACCAAAAATTAGCCAGGCGTGGTGGTGTGCGCCTGTAGTTCCAGCTCCTCAGGAAGCTGAGGCAGGAGAATCACTTGAACCTGGAAGGCAGAGGTTGCAGTGAGCCAAGATCACACCACTGTATTCCAGCCTGGGCGACAGAGTAAGACTTCATTAAAAAATAAAAATAAAAATAAAAAAATAACTCACTTATCTTGGCACTTAACACCAATTTGGGTCAAGATTTAATGTTTTCACATGGGTCCATCTTTTGTCTCCCAAATAAATTGTAAGGTCATGGGAGGCAGAGACAAGTTCTTACATTTCTTTTGCATCTTCGTTTTTCCTTCTCACTTTTTTATACCAACAGGGAGGTCACAGGTTGTAAACTGGCCACTGCCTAGGGGCCAGATAGGGTCCATAGGTGAGATGTTTTGTCCAGAGTATATTTTTAAAAACCTTTGAATTAGTTGCTGTCATTTAAAAATGGCAGGTTCACATCAAAAATTTATCTCTGTTTTCTTGAAAAAAAAAATCAGAGTATCGGGCAACCCTGGGCAAGCATTCATGCATAGCTCTGTTGGCTGGAGCTGAGTACCTGCTGCCCCTTTTAAGGAAGGAGTGGATTCTCCTGTTTACAATGGTTCCCTCATTTTTTTCACTACCTTCTTAGCTGCCTGGCCCCAGTAGACTTCTGCATTTATAACTCTTGTGGAAGGCACTCAATAAATTAACTGATAATGGAAATATTCCACTCTGTAAATACAGCCAGGCCACTTTGAATGCCTAAGTGAGCAACATGTTTGTTTTATGCAGCTAAAATCAAACTTCTTATTTTAGCCATTAGCAGGAGACATTATTAACCTCACGGACCAATGTTAGCTGTTCTTCCTGGGCTTGCCAAGAGCTGAGAATGGATTAGGAAATGGTCAACTGCAAGACAATAGACAGCCAGCCTCAATAATCACATGCAAATAGCTGAGACACAGAGTATACAGTTGTCCCATGAACACTGAGTGTTCCCTAATAACATGGAAATCATAGCACTCATGACGATGAATGTTGCTGGCAGCTGCCCAGTAAATCTGGGGCTGGATACAGAAAGCCTAAACCTGCAGCTTCATTTTACCAACATTGGTCTCTTCCCTTTTGAACTTCTCATTATAGACTACTGTGTTCTAAAATTGTTTTCACGTCTTGCCTCTCCCACTCCACTGTAAGTTACTTATAAAGTTACTCCTGTGGCATGTTTCTTATTCCACGCATAGAGGATCAGGAGCCTTAACCTGGGATCCATGGACTGGCTTCAGTCAAGGCAAAAACACAATGGGTCATCAAAGTTCCTTATTAAATCGGTGCATACATTATGGTCAGGGCTTTGGGACTGGGAGAACTTTAACTTAAGGTATTTGTAAAGGGATAAGATGCATGGTGGCCTCAACAACACTCATGTAGTCTGTTTACTATCATTTACAGTTTTTGGTTATTTGCATTTGCAAAGCACTGCTTTTATGCTTTCATTAAGGTCATGGGTGAAAATGTTAAGCTACCCAGGATTAACTCACGCATCATCCTGGTAGAGACTGAGTGAATAGGGAGCAAAATTGCCAGCTCTCGAAACCATTAGTCCAACCAGATACAAGCAAACTAAACATAATATTTAACCCATACTACCTTGTCTGAAAGGAGACTAGCAAATCTTTTAGATTGCTTTAAATCAAGATTCATTAAATTTAAACATACTCTTTATGAGTAATTTAATGACTTTCTCAAAGTAGGAAATGCAGTTAGTTTGACATAAACTACATCTTTTTTTTTTAAATTGCATTTTAGGTTTTGGGTACATGTGAAGAACATTGCAAGATTGTTGCATAGGTACACACATGGCAGTGTGATTTGCTGCCTTCCTCCCCATCATAAACTACATCTTTATGAACTTCTCCACATTTGTAAAAGATATGTTTCTTCTCTAAATGTGTATAAACCATATGTTTAATAATAATGCTCAAGTTATCCTGGAGAACAATGACTCATAATCTGGTTTCCAGAATGTACTCTTCCTCATTTTTGAAAATAGGAATAATATTTGTTTATGTCCTGTTTTCTGGCAATTTTCCCATTCTCAAATTTGTTCAAAGCTCACATTCAGAGGTTTCCCTAGTCCAGCTTAAAGTTCTTTCATCTGGACCTAGAGATAAACACATTTGCAATAGCTCATGTGCCTCTTATTATTACCTCTCCTAACTCTGAGATAAATACATTTGCAATAGCTAACTCCTAAGTCTACTATTAACACCTTCTCCAGTTTGAAGATCAGAGAATTAAACTGAATAATTCAGCTGAGCTTTTACCTATCAATAAAGAACACTTTCTCTAAGTGATTCCTTCTTCTTGCTATGCCTATCAGTACCATATTTATTGAAAGCTGAAGTTCTAAGTGCTGTGCTGGTCTTCTTGGTGCTTTTTAAGAAAGGCTACGTACCTTCTCTTCTACTGCTTATGCCTTTTAAAACCAGAAATCATTAAAAAGATCCTGATATTATTACACGTAAAAAATTTGTTCATTAAAAAAAAATTTGGTCCCCTTAGGTTTCCTGTGTCTTTCCTTATTTCTCAGATTTATCTGCTACCATAGAGTTTGATTTTTAGTTTTTACAACCTACAAAACATTGCCAAATTAAATATCCTACTAGAGGCATTAATCATAGAATTACTTATACTAATTATTGAAAACCTGGTCCACTAAATACATTCTTGGGTATACTTAACAGACTCCAGGATGTCATGGTCACGTTTTTTTCTATAACTTTCACAGCCACAAAGGATCTCCTGTGAGTCAGAACTCAGTCAAGAATTTCAGTGGATCTTGATGCTGACTGAGAATATTGCCTGAAACTGATCTGAAGTAGTAACAGGCTAGCAATTTAATTATCTCTATGTTGGACTCATGCTTGAATTAATGTACACAGAATCTTGAGTAAACGAGACAGAATTTGTTTTTTCACCTGTGTCTAAAAAGAAATAATAGCGTATTGTTGCCTTTGGCCAGATGTACAAATTTTATAAAATATACCACGACACTTCTGAGCTCTTGAGTCTTTACCCAACTCTCTTCCAAGCACACCATCACTTTGGATGACAACCTCCTGGTTTATATTTCAAGGTTCGGCTGAGTGGAAAAAACCAGATAAAAAAGATGTACCAGGAAAAGGGGCATACTCTCCCACATGAAAATGGAACAGAAAATACATCATGCTAGTTCCATGACCTGAATAAGTGGTCAGAGCACATAACTCATGTACTTTATGACTAAATGTCTTACAGGCTATCCATCAAAGTATAAAAGGAAAAGGGAAAAATTAAGAAATAACAAACCTTCAATACACAAACCCCCTACTCTTCAGAGGGCAAAAGAGCAAGAACATTGAAAAGCTAAAATGTATAGTCAATTTATAATCAGGAATAGAGGTGCTTGGGAACATATTTTACCAAGTAATGTGTTTGAACATTAGCTTGGTAGCTGGGAGCCAAGAATTTATCAAAGTCAAATAGTGGTAAGTTAAGATACACCAGGAAGTCTGCAAAAAGAGTTTTTATGAAATGGGCTGAAGACATAAAATCTGAGCAGCTTAGAAAAGGCAGAGAAGAGGAGCATCTCACATTTTAAAAATTCTTAAATACAAAGATAGGAAATGTTTCAAATGTTGGTGGAAAGTGGTGAATCATTAAAGGGTTTATATATTATACACAGAACATCGCATGCCCTCAGGAGCCGCCTTCTTAGGAATAAGAAAGGTCTGCAAACAACTATCTTCACTCAATATTCTATATTATGGTAACGTGAAGTGACCCCCAGAGATGCTCAGGACCTAATCCTGGGGATGTGTGAATATGTCACCTTATAAGGCAAAAATGAATTCAAGTTGTAGAGGAAATTAACAATGCTAATCAGCTGACCTTTTAAATAAAGAATATTCATTCTTAATATTTTTCCATGTTGCTGTGAGCCTAGCAGGGCTCAGTGCAATCACACAGGCCCTTTAAAGTATCAGAGTGATACAGTCTGGGAAAGAGTCCACCGGCCATTGCTGGCTTTGAAGATGGCAGAGAGCCATGACATGAGGCATGCAGGGAGCCTCTAGAAGCCGGAAAAGACAAGGAAGTGGACTCCTCCCTGGAGCATCCAGGAAGGAATGCAGCTCTGCAGATATGTGGCTCTCAGCCCAGGGAAACCTATGTCAGGCTTCTGACCTACTGAACTATAAGATAATGCATGCATGTTGTTTAAGTCACTAAATTTCCAGTGATTAATTATAGCAGCAACTGGAAACTAAGATAGTAACTTAAAATTGTTTTGGAGAAAGAAAGGCCTTTGATAATAGTCACATTCCAGGCAGCAAAACAGTGTTCCTCTTTCTGTGTTGAAGAAAATAAAATGCACACTCACCTTTTTATAGGTTTTTTCTTCATTTTGTTTTCCGGGTGCTGCCTCTCCATTTTCAGCAGCGGACGACATCTAAAGAGAAACACACTGCCATTTGAACTTGAATGCTACTCTGAAATAAAATATATGAATAATATTGCTAACCAAAGGATCTATTTTAGTTAAGTATGTTTTTGCTATTGCTATTGCTGTTGCTTCTAAGAAAGGAAGAAAGAAAAATTTCAGAACACTAAAAAAGAAATCTGCATTCCTCAATCTTTTAAAACTAAATCTAAAACATTTTCGTAATATACTTTATTCCATATGCTCTATGAAAGCAAGTGGATGTGTATAAGTTTCTTTCTACAAAGCCTTTTTTTTTTTTTTCTGAGAGAGAGAGTTTTACTTCGTCACCCAGGCTGGAATTGGAATGCAGTGCTGTGATCAGGGCTCACTGCAGCCTCAAACTCTTAGGCTCAAGCAATCCTCCCACCTCAGCCTCTTGAGTAACTGAGATTATAGGCATGAACCACTGTGCCCAGGCTATGTAGCCATTTTTTTTTTTTTTTTTGAGACAGAGTCTGTGTCACCCAGGCTGGAATGCAGTGGCGCAATCTTGGCTCACTGCAACCTCTATCTCCTGGGTTCAAGCGATTCTTCTGCCTCAGCCTCCTGAGTAGCTGGGATTACAGGCATGTGCCACCATGCCCAGATAATTCTTGTTTTTTAGTAGAGACAGGGTTTCACCATGTTGGTCAGGCTGGCCTTGAACTCCTGACCTCGTGATACGCCCACCTCAGCCTCCCAAAGTGCTGGGATTACAGGCGTGAGCTACCTTGCCTGGCTTTACATAGACTTTTAAAAACTTTTCTTCTGTTTATAAATGCTCACTGTAAAAATATCTGGGAAGTACCAAAAAATGAGTCAGAACAAAAAAATTACTCAATTCTACTACCCTTGGGCAACTTCACTATTCACATTTTGTCTATTTATTTCTACCTTTTATTCTGTGCATTTTCATATGTAAAAACTTATAATATTATCTTATCCAGTATTTTTCACTGAACATTTATGTAATAAACATTTTCCCATTTGATTACAAAAATATAATTGTAAGAATAATTTTTTCTAGTTGCAAGATACACCACTGTGTGTTAATACTTTAGTCAACTCTAATATTGAAGGATAGTTGAGGCAGTTCAAAGAGTTTTACTCCTGCAAATACTACAATAATTATTTTATGCTTATATCTTTATCTAGCATCAATGTTTTCTTGGACTAGATTCATAGAATTGCTAGGGCATAAGAGGATATTAAAAAATGTAAAGCTTTTACTACATATTGGTAACTTTATTTCCAGAAGAATATACTCATTCACACTGCTATCAGCAGCGAGTGGGTGCTTGTTTCATTACACATTTAGTAATGATTGTTATCACCTTAAACAGCTTTGCTAATCTGACAGGAAAAGGAAATCGTTTCCTGGTTTTAATTTGCATCTATGAAAATTACTAGTGAAGGTTAACATTGCTTTCACATCATTTTTAGTTCCTTGTTTTCTTCCTTTGAGTTTTCCATTGTTTTGTCAATTTATCTGTGGAGGTTTTAATGTTTCCATTATTACTTTTTCCCTATTATCGTTATTAATATTAATGATTTGCTTATTGATTTTTATGTTTTAATGTTATTAATTGCTTACCAAGTACATTATTAATATTATTCTGTGTTACTGTGTGCCTTTGGTTTTGTTTTGTTTTGTTTTTGAGATAGGGTCTTGCTCTGTCACTCAGGCTGGAGTACAGTGGTGCAATCACGGCTCACTACAGCCTCAACCTCCCAGGATCAGACAATCCTCCCACCTCAGCCTCCCAAGTAGCTATAACTACAAGCGTACGTCACCATGTCTGTCTAATTTTTTGTAATTATTTTGGTAGAGACAGGGTTTTGCCAAGTTGCCCAGGCTGGTCTCGAATTCTTGAGCTCAAGCAAACCTCCCACCTTGGCCTCCCCAAGTGTTGGGATTATAGGCGTGAGCTACTGTGCCCAGTCTACTTACTGTGTGCCTTTTAACTTGTTTCATAATTATGATATAGAGAAGCTCTATATTTTTACACACTTAAAACTACTGCATATCTTTGTGACTTCTTCTAATGCCTTAAGATAAAATATGTGTTTTCATTGGGAGATCTGATATTCAAATGTGTTTCTCTCTCTTCCTAATAAGATTTTCACATTCAACCTATAATTCATCTGAATTTTTAAAGCCAGTTATGTTACTTCTGTGGTAAACAAGGATAATTTCATAATCAGGGAACCACGATATTTAAGGGTCTTACCTTAAATTGCATGAAGAACATTTAATACATCAAGGAAGCGTAAAACTTCTGACTTTCTTTTAAGCCTTTGAAGCATGCTTTAAATTCTGGGCTTTTAATAAACACAGCATATGCTAAACCTAGGAATTGATCAAACATTTCTCTGCCTTGGAACCAAGTGATTGAGTTTATCCACACTGCCATGAGCTTGATATGACTAATAACCATCCAGAAAAATAAATGCAAGTATCATGGTTAACCAGCCTCACTAGAGCCCACCAATTAAACCACCCTCTCACATAATTTTGCAATTCTATTTTTGTCTACTTAATCAGTCCATATTAGAATAGAATCTTCAAGGACAGATGTTTCACAAACTATTGTTTTTCATGTTGTATCGGCTTAAATTGACTTAAAGAATAATTCATTTTTCGCCGGGCGCGGTGGCTCAAGCCTGTAATCCCAGCACTTTGGGAGGCCGAGGCGGGTGGATCACGAGGTCAAGAGATGGAGACCATCCTGGTCAACATGGTGAAACCCCGTCTCTACTAAAAATACAAAAAAATTAGCTGGGCATGGTGGCGCGTGCCTGTAATCCCAGCTACTCAGGAGGCTGAGGCAGGAGAATTGCCTGAACCCAGGAGACGGAGGTTGCGGTGAGCTGAGATCGCGCCATTGCACTCCAGCCTGGGTAACATGAGCGAAACTCTGTCTCAAAAAAAAAAAAAGAATAATTCATTTTTCTAGTCTCTCCATAATAATATTTTGGTGAGTTTTGAATAAAAATGCCAGAAGAATTAAAATGCTTTATATATAAGGCTCAGGGTAAAATACAGGCCTTCAACTGTTTAACAGAGCCAACAGAATGAAGACCTCCCTAAATTAGAATGCCATTCCAGTAATGTCACTTTTAAGATTTTGCAGCCTTTAAAACCAAAAAACTGCAAGAGTAACTCTGAAGGGTGCTTTAAAAAACCACCTTAATGAAAGGTTAACTAATGGGCATCAATGAAGGACGGAGGATGAGATGGTCTTAAATTATTTTTTATTACTTTGTGAATCACCTCTGACTTGACAGTAGGGAAGAGGAGGAAAAAAAACAGGTAAACTTCTGTTTTTTCTAAAACAATCCCTGGGCTAGGCATGGTGGCTCACGCCTGTAATTCCAGCACTTTGGGAGGCCAAGGCAGGTGAATCAAGAGGTCAGGAGTTCAAGACCAGCCTGACCAACATGGAGAAACCCCTTCTCTACTGAAAATACAAAGATTATCCAGGCGTGGTGGCACACGCTTGTAGTCCCAGCTACTTGGGGGGCTGAGGCAGGAGAACCACTTGAACTTGGGAGGTAGAGTTGCAGTGAGCCGAGATTCCGCCACTGCATTCCAACCTGGGCAACAGAGGAAGACTCCGTCTCAAAAAAAAAAAAAAAAATCCTGTTAAGCAGCACAAAACATATAATAATGACAAATGAAGGCCATGAACTATCATCTGAATTCAAGGGTGGTTTGGTTGGTTGTTTTTCCTGCAGAGTGATGTTTAACAAAGGTCACATAAACCTATTAACCAGGGACACTGAAGTCAGAGAGGCCATGTAGCAGGAACAAATAAGATGCCTGGGGATGTACTGGGAAACTGCAAAGGGCTATTACAATGGTCACAGTGATGACTACTGTTTCTTCCTAGAGTTGTTATGCTTCTGCACCACATCATCTGTAGCTAACCTAATGAAGCCAGGGTAAGTACGAATTAAAAACATTGTTTTAAAAAACATTATATAACCAGGCGGGGCATGGTAGCTTACACCTATAATCACAGCACTTTGGGAAGCTGGAATGGGATGATTGCTTGAGGCCAGTAGTATGAGACCAGAGGGGGAAAAACAGTGAGGGCCGGGCGTGATGGCTCACGCCTGTAATCCCACCACTTTGGGAGGCCGAGGCGGGTGGATCACGAGGTCAAGAGATCGAGACCATCCTGGTCAACACGGTGAAACCCCGTCTCTACTAAAAATACAAAAAATTAGCTGGGCATGGTGGCGCGTGCCTATAATCCCAGCTACTCAGGAGGCTGAGGTAGGAGAATTGCCTGAACCCAGGAGGCGGAGGTTGCGGTGGGCCAAGATCGCGCCATTGCACTCCAGCCTGGGTAACAAGAGCGAAACTCCGCCTCAAAAAAAAAAAAAAAAAAAAAAAAAAAAAGAAAAAGAAAAACAGTGAGACCCCATCTCTATAAAAAATAAAAAATTAGCCAGGTACAATGCTTGCACCTGTAGTCCCAGCTATATAAGAGGCTGAGGCAGAAGGATTGCTTGAGCCCAGGAGTTTGAGGCTGCAGTGAGCCATGATCACACCACTGCACTCCAGCCTGGGCAGCAGAGGAAGACTCTGTCTCAAAAAGAAAAACAAAAGCAAATACTATGTCATTTTAGATAAGGGACTTGAGTATATTTTCGTATCCACAGGTCCTGGAATCAATCACCTGCAGATACCAAGGGCTGACTATATCGAGTTTCCTTTTAGGTGATACAGATGTTTTGGAATTGCATAGAGGTAATGGCTGTGTAACATTATAAATGTACTAAATTGTACTAAAAATGAACGCTGAATTGTTCATTTAAAAATGGCTAATTTTATGGTATATGAATTTCACCTGGGAGACACAGTAAGACCTCGTCTCTAAAAATATTTTTTGAAGTTATAATCATATGTATTTTCCATGTACACATAAAAGGAAGGAGGAAAGGCATTCTTAGAAGTTCTGGTGGTTATCTACAGATGGGATTATGAGAGCTTTAGGTTTTCCTTTTTATATTTTGCTAGATTCTCCAAATATTCTACAGTGAGCACTGCTACACTTAAAAATGAGGAAAACACTATTTAAAAATTTAACCACACATAGTAGTTAGTAAGAGAGACCATATCTTGTTTTATTTATTTTTTAACACTTCTGGCACACCAAAATTCATAAAATTTCTTGTTGCTGTTTGCTTGATATTTGTTTCAAATTTGTTGTCAAAATTAAAGGTTATGACCTAGATATAATGTTTTAGAACATTTGTAAATAAATTTATAATAGGGGCTCTATGCTGATTTTATCAGAATTAATTAAAAATATAGACTGTATTTCCTTACCTTTGTAAATGAAATGGCAAGTCATCTGTTGTTGGTAGTGATGGGTGGCGTACTCATTGCTGAGACCGTTTTCTTTCCCAGGTTTCTGTTAAAATAGAAATTTCTGGTCATTATTTATTCATATACCTAGCACATCTCCCAAAAAAGATCAGAAGTAGCTAGAGGGATACACACAATATAAGCAGTTAAAATTAAAACAAAGGAAGGAATGTGGATGAGGGAAAATAAATGTGGGGAACAAGATGATTCCATCAGCAAGGGCTATGCATAGAACATAAGCCACAGAGCCTGGTATGGGTGTTAATAAACTATACAGTCTACAACTTGACTCTGAGATTCCTGGTTGCCAGAGGAAAGGAAAACATGATCAGTTACCAGATGCACAATGAGCAAAAGATAAAAGCTGAAATAAACCACAGATATATGGAGATTCAAGCTGGAGTGGAAATTTCTCCCATGGATCTTCATAGAGGACACACCATGTGACATGTGGACAATTTTTCAATATTAGCCCCATGATAAATCACCTGTGATTTCCATAAGGATTGATTAGATGACACAACTTCAAAGAACAGTTCAAAAAAACCTCTTGTGCTATAATTATGTTTTATATAGAAGAGATACTAGCTAATTGTAATCAATTTTAAAATGTAGAGAGGAATGAAATAAAAGTGAATTAGGCAGAGCTTGGTGGCTTCTGCCTGTAGTCCTAGCACTCTGGGAGGCCAAGGTAGGAGGGTTGCTAGAGGCTAGGAATTCGAGACCAGCCTGGGCAACATAGTGAGACTCTTGTCTCTTAAAAAAAAAAAAAAAAAAAAAAAAAGAATTAGGTCTTCCTCTTATCTCTCCCACCCCGAGATAACCAATATGAACAGTCTGTCTGTCGTACAGCCTTTAAAAATCCTCCATATACTTTTTCACACACATATTTATTTCTGCAACTTGCTCTTATCAATATATTCAGTTTTTCAAATCTATTTATCTACCTCATTTAAAAATAACTGCATATATTCACAAGACAGACATAATCATTGTTTACCAATCACTCCTCTGTGGATGAACAATCAGACTGTTTTCCAGATTTAGCTATCTTTACCAGAGCAGGAATAAACAGCCTTATTCAAACATCTTCAATGTTCTAGTACTTTTATTTTTGTGGGAAAGAATCCTAGAAGTGGAATAACTGTGGGGCCAAACATGATAAGCATGTTAACTATTTGAATGACTATTGCTACATTTCTTTCCATGCAAAAGCTGAAGCACTCAGCCCAACTGTGCATGAGAGTGCCTGCTTATTGACACACTGATCAGCAGTGGGTTTTGCCATCTTTAAAAGTATTTGCTCACGTGATGGGCATCTCAGTGGTTTTAATTCGCCTCCTCTCACTGCTAATGGGGCTGATTCTTTTCACAGGTTTATTGGTGATTTACAATTCCAGTTCACACCTTTTAACTGTTTTTATACCTGACTGTTTTATCTTTCTTTTATAATCAACTTGTGAGACCTCTTCATATATTAAACACTAGCTCTGTCCTAGAGGTTGAAAGTATTATTATTCTTTTGGGATGTCTTGTCATTATAGACATTTTAAATTTTTACACAATCAAATGTACCTTACATAATCAAATTCCTTTATGGATTATAAATTTCCTATCTTGCAATTCTTCCTTTTTGGATGATGGATTATGAAAGAGAGCTCCCCCTAACCTGATGTTATACATGTATTCTCCCACCTTTAGTGTACATTTTCTCTTAATACATTTATGGGTCCATCTTAATATTAGATCTTACTTCAAATGGAATCTAATCCAAATGGAATGTTGCCCCAGATGGACAGCTAATTTCCCTAAATCATTTACTTTATAATCTTTTCCATACTGGAAAGACAAGCCACCTTTAGCGTACATTAAGTTTCCCACATACATTGATTTAGTAACTGCATTTACTCTGTTCCAAACACTGACTTGTGGATCCCTAAGCTAATGTCATATTGTCTTACATGCAGTCACATGATAGTATGCTTTGATGTCTGCTGACACAACTTCCCCACACTATTTTTCCTTCAAGTTTGGAAATTTTCTTGCATTTATATTTTTATGTAGCCTTTAAAAACATGTTGATTGGGCCAGACGTGGTGGCTTATGCCTGTAATCCCAGCACTTTGGGAGGCTGACACGGGCAAATCACCTGAGGTCAGGAGTTTGAGACCAGCCTGGCCAACATGGTGAAACCCTTCGCTTGAACCCGGGAGACAAAGGTTATACTGAGCTGAGACTGGGCCACTGCACTCCAGCCTGGGCAACAAAAGTGAAACTCTGTCTCAAAAAAAAAAAAAAAAAATCATGTTGATCTGACAACACTTTTAGCTTCCAAGTTGGGATTCTCACTGGGATTATATATAGTAATTTTAGAAGAATTTTTATCTTTAGGACCATAAGTTTTCTCATTTGAAAAGGTAGCATAGCAATATACTTCTTCAAATGTTGGTTTATGTCTTTTACTACAATCATCTTTTTTTTTTTAATTCATCTTACGTCTTACTAAATTCACTCCTGGATATTTTCATTTATCACTCTTTTAAATAGAGTGAAATATAAATCATTATATTTCTAGAAATATAAAAATATACAGTTTAAAAAATCTTATATTTCTAGAATAAATCTTAACTTTGATTTGATTTCTTAACCTTTTCAAAAGCATATTTTCATGAGTGATATTGAACAACTGTTATGGCCATCTTTATCAGGTTTTGGTATGAAGGAATTTATAATTTTCATAAAATCGGAAGGCTTTCTTTATATGCACTCAAGTTTTTTCTGTTTATTATTCATCTTTTGGGATTTATAACCTTTTCTTGAATCAAATTTTTGGTAATTTATAATTTATTAGAAAAACATCAATTTCCTCTAGATTTCAAAATTTATTGCCATAAACCTGAACATAACATTGTCTTATTGAATTATTTTAATCCTTTTGGGACCTGGGTAATTTTTTTTCTTCATTCCTAATATTGCATGTGCATATGTACATTCTTTATATTGTGTGTGTGTGTGTGTGTATATATATATACACACACACACACACACACACACACACACACACACACATATATAGTCATTAGTCAGATTCTCCCTTTTAATTGTTTTGTGGCCAACTATATTAATTTTAGCTTTTGCCATTAATACCTTCTTTCTTTTGTTTCTAAAAAACATTTCTTAGATAATATTTAGTTTATCATTTTTTTAATAGTACCAAAAGCATTTAGGCTATAAAGTGTTCCTAAATGCATTAGCAATTTCTTCTTAAGTTTGGATGTGAAATGTTCTCTTTACTTCCAGAGAATTTGTCATTTTATATCTTATTTTCAGTTTGATCTAGGAATCATCTATAAGAAGGCTTCTTAATTTCAAGTATTTACATTTTACTTATTATTTCACTGTCAATTTTTTTTTTGTTTTATCACAGTGGGATAGAAAAGGGGATGAGTAAAATACTTTTCCCCTAAAATTCATTTAGTTTTTTCCTGTGGCCATAGAAACAGATTTTTGTAAATGTTCTATCGACATAAGAGAATAATGCAGATTCTGTGTTTATAGGGTATAAACACTAAATACGAATACCAACCAGTATCATTATTTGTCTACTTTGTCAAATTAGGAAAGAATTATTATTATTAATTTTTTTTGAGACAGGGTCTGGCTCCATTGCTCAGGCTGGAGTGAAGTGGTGTGATTGTGGCTCACTGCAACCTCCACCACCCTGGCTCAAGCAATCCTCCCACCTCAGCCCCCTGAGTAGCTGGGATTACAGGTGCATGCCACCACACCTGACTAATTTTTAAAAGTTTTTTTGTAGAGATGGGTCTCACACTATGTTGCCCAGGCTTGTCACAAACTCTTGAGATCAAGCGGTCTACCTGCCTCTACCTCCCAAAGTGCTGGGATTACAGGCATGGCCACCATGCCTGGCCAAATTATGAAATAGCTATATCAAAATTCCCTAATTATAGTTTTGTCATGTTCTCCTGTATGTATATTTCTTTTTTTGCCTTACAAATTCCAGAACTATGTTGGTCAGGAAATAAAAGCAATGCCTATAATAACATTTTGTTTACTATTAATTACATTTATTGTTACTGTACTTATTTTTACTCATTATATCTCTGCTGGTTTGCTCAGTTACCTAATTTTAAATCATTAAAAATATGTTTTTTCAATTAAAAAAGCAAAATGACTATATACTATCTTCACTGCCCAGACATTTTTCCCTTGACCTGCTGTGTAGACATGGAGATGAGCTGCCCAGATCACCCTCTAAGGAGGGAAGACTGCCTTATTGCATGCCTCTGCAGGCATCCACTCTAGCCTAGGTCACGGCCTTCCTGGGGCAGCCACCTCTAGTGGCTGAGTGGCACGGTGGCACTCTTTCTTCAGCTCCCCACCAAGGTGGCCCAGGCCATGTGTGTTCTGCGTGGGACTTTGGTTTTGTGCTTCCTCACTCATCTTTTTATAGGGTTTATCAGTTTCCAAGGGCTTCCCCTACAAAGTACGACAGACTGGGTGGCTTCAAATGACAGAGATTTATTTTCCCACAGTTCTGGAGGCCAGAAGTCCAAAATAAAGGTAGTAGCAGGGCCAGGCTCCCTCTGAGACTCAACAGAATTCTTCCTTGCTTCTTTTAGCTTCTGGTGGTAGCCATCTATCTTGGTATCTTTTGGCTTGCTGCTAAGTTACTCTGTCCCCATATAGCACTTCTCTCCATGTGTCTCCCTCTTCATGTGGCATTTTCCTTTTCTTATAAGAACACCAGCTACACTGGGTTGGAGCTCACCCTCATGAACTCATCTTAACTTGATTGTATTTGCAAAGACCCTGTTTCCAAATAAGGTCACATGCACAGATACTGAAAACTAGGACTTCAACATATCTTTCTGGGGAACACAATACACAGGTGTTAATTCCTAATTAGTATCTTGCAACCAAAACTGTGTCCCAGTGCTTGCTTTCAGAGAACCCAATCCATGACATTTCATTTCTTTCTTGTCCATAGGGAGAGACACTTGGAATATTTTTACTCTTTCATTG